CATGGGTGACGTCTTGTGAAAAGATCATGATCTGGCAGATCACAAGTAATTTGAAGAGCTGGCATGTTATTTTTCTTTCCTTCACTTTTGGAGTATGAAGTGACCCATTTATAGGTTTTTTCCCATTTGTTTGATGCTTGCACCTTTGGTGTTTGGTGGGTGGCACTGTCTCAATGCCACAATCCTATCTTCTTGCTATGGATTGGTGGCTTCGAAGATATGGATTACTTCTCCCTACATTTGTCATTACAATATTGATGAATAACTTATTTATACAATGTGTTTTATGAGTTCATTTTTGAAATGCACAACTTTATATTCAAGTTTGTTGATGTGTATTGATGTTGAGGTAGCAAGATGGAGTAATCGATACAGATTAACTTCGGCACTTAGGACAATTCATGGTTTTGATTTATGTAATGATTGACCTTTATGCAATAAAATTTCTCTTTTCTTAAAAAAAAAATAATAAAAAGGTCTATTTGAATTCATGGTTGTAAATCATTTTTCATGAAATAAAGTATTGATTTGTTTGAAAATAAAAAATAAGAAAATATAAATCATATTTAAGAAAAAACTTGAGATAGTTACCAAATATGTTTTCTGTTTTTATTCTCATAATTTGATAGACAAAAATAATTACCAAACATTTTTCTGTTTCAGTGTTTACCAAAATAGAAATAAAAAATTGTTTCTATTTTTAGTTTTTTGAAAACACAAAAACAAAAACGTTATCGCATGATCCCTAAATTTTAAAATTTTTGTTTATTTTAATTCTTATTTTGGAGATGCTCTAATAATTTAGTAGCAATAAAAAATAATACATTAGTTAAACGAGAACTTGTCAACACGCAGTCATACACGCCAGCTTTGACTCTGCCTTGTTTGCCACGCACTTATAAATACTTGAGTCCTCCCACATCACTCGAACTCAAACCGTACGCAATATAAAACAAATTCAACAACAATATCCTCTCGTTCTTCCTCCTCCTCCACCACCGCCGCCGCAACCATCGCCGATATGGCTGGTAACACCACCTCCATAACAGACGTTCATCCAGACATCATCCGAACTCACATCTTGACCAGACTCGACGGCCCAACTCTAGCATCCACTAGCTCAGCGTCCTCCCACTTACATTCTCTCTCCTCAGAAGATAAACTATGGAGAGAGATTTGCAACTCCACATGGCCGTCCACTATTGACCCACTAGTCCGCGCCACCATCTCCTCCTTTCCCTCCGGTCACCGGTCATTTTTCTGTGACGCCTTCCCCGCTTTCCGCCATCTTTCTCGTCCGTCGCAGCCCAATCGCCACCCTGGGCCGTCGATACTTGAACTCATCTCAGCCATCGATGTTCACTATAAAAACAAGCTTGTGTTCTCCCAAGCTCATGTGACCGAGACGGTAACCGGGTGGTTCCAGTTCTCACCGTTGAGGGTCGACCTTCTCGACTACAAAGAGACCGTGCAGACGCCGGTGAAATTCTCCGGTGATGAGGAGACTTGCCGGGCAGATTTGGAAGAACACATGAGCTTGAGCTGGATTCTGATCGATCCAACCAATAAACGGGCGGTGAATTTGTCGAGCTTGAGGCCAGTTTCGGTGCTGCACCACTGGTTGACTGGAGACTTTCAGGTCCGGTATGCGACAATACTGGCCGGAGATTTCAACGGTGATCGATCGGAATTGCTGCAGTGCAGTGTGGTGGTGACTTGCGGAGGAGAGGAAGGAGGTGAATTGCAGGTGAAAGAGGTGAGCATGCAGGTGGAGGACATGGATGGGAAGATTCTGAACGGGAAGGACAGTTTGGTAATTTTGCAAGAGGCCATGGAGAGTGAGAGGGGGAAGAGAGGGCAGGAGAGAGAGAGGTATGAGGAGTTCTTGGAGATGAGGAGAGAGAGAAGAGTGAAAAAACAGAGGAGAGAGAGGAGGTTGGACATGGTGTTCACAGCCACCGCAATTTCCATTTTTCTTGCCTTTTGGTCGTTTGTTCTGCTAAGATAAGAAAAATCAGTCATCCCTTACAGTTATAGCTTACAGTTATCAGTCATCTCTTGGATTAGTCAGATACTCAGATGAGAAAATAATATATATTTTTTTAATTTTTTAAAGGACATATTCGGTGTACAAAACACTGATTATTGTAAAATTTTGAGAAGATTAGATATATACAGTTTTAATCCTATAAGGAGAGAAGTTATTTTCGAGATTCAAACATGTGACCTTTAAATTATAATAAAATATATTTATTATTGTGCCAAGACTGCCCTCATTTTTTTTTTTTTTTAATTCTTTTGATTGGTATAAATTTATNTTAAACATGTGACCTTTAAATTATAATAAAATATATTTACTATTGTGCCAAGACTGCCCTCATTTTTTTTTTTTTTTAATTCTTTTGATTGGTATAAATTTATTTTTGGGTTTACAAAGACAAAGGGTCAATGAGAACCCAATGTAATGGAAGGGTGAGGATTATATCTCTTGGTGCAATTCTTTATGTTGTAAAATTGTATTATTCATTTGGATGGAAAAATAATGAATTGATTATTGTTTGTCTTCCTTTTTGAAGTTTCAACCCTTTGAATTTTTCAAGTTTGGCTAACTACCAACTTAGAATAGAAAAGAAGTGAATGAAATTGTTAATATCTTATAATATTTCCATTGACTTTGCACGGGTGGGAATATGAATAAGATAGAATAATACAAGTGGAAAGAGTTTGAGCTGTCAGTCAGTGGGGCTCCCATTATTGTTATATCCTAATACAAGTTGGAAGANACGGGTGGGAATATGAATAAGATAGAATAATACAAGTGGAAAGAGTTTGAGCTGTCAGTCAGTGGGGCTCCCATTATTGTTATATCCTAATACAAGTTGGAAGAGTTTGAGCCATTATTCAAACATGTACAAAGCTATGCCCCCCTAACCATTGACATTATAGCCATTATTATAAATTCTACTAAATTATCACATTTAGAAATTAGAGAACTCATCTCCCCCTCTCTATATNTTCAAACATGTACAAAGCTATGCCCCGATAACCATTGACATTATAGCCATTATTATAATTTCTACTAAATTATCACATTTAGAAATTAGAGAACTCATCTCCCCCTCTCTATATATAGTGAATAAGAAACTAATGCAAAGTAGTAGTAGAAAGCTATACAGAAAAGTGATGTACATTTTAGGCTTCGTGGAATATGACAGCAACCTTGTATTGGCAATTCTCTTGTATAGAAGACAAATTACAAGTGGTGTGTATACATTAAAAAGTCTTGCTGCTTGTTTGCCATGAGAGGGCTTCACAATAGCCTTTGCATGACAAGTACTATCATGTTTTTGTTTTTGAATGAGAAGTTAATCTTGCAATTTTGAAAATTCCTTGCCCAAAACTCTTGATTTGTGTTATTAACATATCCATTACTATTTCCTTCTGTTACATCAAATGTGATCATCATTCACATAACAGTTTCAGAGAAGCATGATTGAATAATTTCTAAGTGGGTTTATCTTCCCTTTTTCTTATAGATAAAACAACTCTATGAGTCATATATTTGTAGTAAGTTAGTCCAAAAAACTACTTGTTGTGCTAAGTTTTTCACTCTCAAATGTGTAACTGAAAGGTATTTACCAATTTTTGGTCATCACATGTTAGCTAAGTCCTTTCGTTTCTCATATTTTGAAAAAGTTTTTTTGAATAGTATCATATAATATACAAACCTAATTTGCTAATAGCATCTACTGAATACTTTTCTTTGAAGAAAGAGATTGTCTTTCTCAAGTCCTGAACCAATTTAAACATAGTAGCATAATAAAAATTTTGAATCAAGGAGATTGTTAGGATTGTTGATAGAATCTACAGAACCAACCTGTGTTCTCAAAAAATTGGATGGTAACCTAAAATCTTAACACCTTACCTTAGGAGAAATGCTCATAAAAAAATTTGTGATTATTTTGGAAAAACATAGTTTGAGTATTCAAAAACAGAAAATAACAGCAAGTACATTTTTTTAGTTTTATAATTATTTTCAAGAAACTTAGAAAAATTTACCAATTCGTGCCTCCAAACGATGAATTTGAAACTCTCATCCAAAAGTATATTTTTGGTCGCATGAATTCTTGCCTTCAAAGAAAGAATTATCGGTAACTATCAATCAGCAGGTGTCATGCCAAATGTCAAAGATAGACTCGTTGTGGACTAGACTTCCTAGCAGATTGTTATGTGATACACAACTTGGATATATGTACTTCAAACAAAATGTGCTTGTTAATGAAAATTTGAAATGTTAATTTTCTTGCCCAACAACTTGACCTCTATAGTGAAGATGATTACATGCGCAAAAGGAATAATCATAGCAGCTACATTGCAAACGGATATGTTGGATGGATACATGTAGTGAGGATAGTGTAAAATATGATAGGGTNTATGAGTTCATTTTTGAAATGCACAACTTTATATTCAAGTTTGTTGATGTGTATTGGTGTTCAGGTAGCAAGATGGAGTAATCAATACAGATTAACTTCGGCACTTAGGACAATTCATGGTTTTGATTTATGTAATGATTGACGTTTATGCAATAAAATTTCTCTTTTCTTAAAAAAAAATAATAAAAACGTCTATTTGAATTCATGGTTGTAAATCATTTTTCATGAAATAAAGTGTTGATTTGTTTGAAAATAAAAAATAAGAAAATGTAAATCATATTTAAGATAAAACTTGAGATAGTTACCAAATATGTTTTCTGTTTTTATTCTCATAATTTGATAGACAAAAATAATTACCAAACATTTTTCTGTTTCAGTGTTTACCAAAATAGAGATAAAAAATTATTTCTGTTTTTAGTTTTTTGAAAACACAAAAACAAAAATGTTATCGCATGATCCCTAAATTTTAAAATTTTTGTTTATTTTAATTCTTATTTTGGAGATGCTCTAATAATTTAGTAGCAATAAATAATAATACATTAGATAAACGTGAACTTGTCAACACGCAGTCATACACGCCAGCTTTGACTCTGCATTGTTTGCCACGCACTTATAAATACTTGAGTCCTCCCACATCACTCGAACTCAAACCGTACGCAATATAAAACAAATTCAACAACAATATCCTCTCGTTCTTCCTCCTCCTCCACCACCGCCGCCGCAACCATCGCCGATATGGCTGGTAACACCACCTCCATAACAGACGTTCATCCAGACATCATCCGAACTCACATCTTGACCAGACTCGACGGCCCAACTCTAGCATCCACTAGCTCAGCGTCCTCCCACTTACATTCTCTCTCCTCAGAAGATAAACTATGGAGAGAGATTTGCAACTCCACATGGCCGTCCACTATTGACCCACTAGTCCGCGCCACCATCTCCTCCTTTCCCTCCGGTCACCGGTCATTTTTCTGTGACGCCTTCCCCGCTTTCCGCCATCTTTCTCGTCCGTCGCAGCCCAATCGCCACCCTGGGCCGTCGATACTTGAACTCATCTCAGCCATCGATGTTCACTATAAAAACAAGCTTGTGTTCTCCCAAGCTCATGTGACCGAGACGGTAACCGGGTGGTTCCAGTTCTCACCGTTGAGGGTCGACCTTCTCGACTACAAAGAGACCGTGCAGACGCCGGTGAAATTCTCCGGTGATGAGGAGACTTGCCGGGCAGATTTGGAAGAACACATGAGCTTGAGCTGGATTCTGATCGATCCAACCAATAAACGGGCGGTGAATTTGTCGAGCTTGAGGCCAGTTTCGGTGCTGCACCACTGGTTGACTGGAGACTTTCAGGTCCGGTATGCGACAATACTGGCCGGAGATTTCAACGGTGATCGATCGGAATTGGTGCAGTGCAGTGTGGTGGTGACTTGCGGAGGAGAGGAAGGAGGTGAATTGCAGGTGAAAGAGGTGAGCATGCAGGTGGAGGACATGGATGGGAAGATTCTGAACGGGAAGGACAGTTTGGTAATTTTGCAAGAGGCCATGGAGAGTGAGAGGGGGAAGAGAGGGCAGGAGAGAGAGAGGTATGAGGAGTTCTTGGAGATGAGGAGAGAGAGAAGAGTGAAAAAACAGAGGAGAGAGAGGAGGTTGGACATGGTGTTCACAGCCACCGCAATTTCCATTTTTCTTGCCTTTTGGTCGTTTGTTCTGCTAAGATAAGAAAAATCAGTCATCCCTTACAGTTATAGCTTACAGTTATCAGTCATCTCTTGGATTAGTCAGATACTCAGATGAGAAAATAATATATATTTTTTTAATTTTTTAAAGGACATATTCGGTGTACAAAACACTGATTATTGTAAAATTTTGAGAAGATTAGATATATACAGTTTTAATCCTATAAGGAGAGAAGTTATTTTCGAGATTTAAACATGTGACCTTTAAATTATAATAAAATATATTTACTATTGTGCCAAGACTGCCCTCATTTTTTTTTTTTTTAATTCTTTTGATTAGTATAAATTTATTTTTGGGTTTACAAAGACAAAGGGTCAATGAGAACCCAATGTAATGGAAGGGTGAGGATTATATCTCTTGGTGCAATTCTTTATGTTGTAAAATTGTATTATTCATTTGGATGGAAAAATAATGAATTGATTATTGTTTGTCTTCCTTTTTGAAGTTTCAACCCTTTGAATTTTTCAAGTTTGGCTAACTACCAACTTAGAATAGAAAAGAAGTGAATGAAATTGTTAATATCTTATAATATTTCCATTGACTTTGCACGGGTGGGAATATGAATAAGATAGAATAATACAAGTGGAAAGAGTTTGAGCTGTCAGTCAGTGGGGCTCCCATTATTGTTATATCCTAATACAAGTTGGAAGAGTTTGAGCCATTATTCAAACATGTACAAAGCTATGCCCCCCTAACCATTGACATTATAGCCATTATTATAAATTCTACTAAATTATCACATTTAGAAATTAGAGAACTCATCTCCCCCTCTCTATATATAGTGAATAAGAAACTAATGCAAAGTAGTAGTAGAAAGCTATACAGAAAAGTGATGTACATTTTAGGCTTCGTGGAATATGACAGCAACCTTGTATTGGCAATTCTCTTGTATAGAAGACAAATTACAAGTGGTGTGTATACATTAAAAAGTCTTGCTGCTTGTTTGCCATGAGAGGGCTTCACAATAGCCTTTGCATGACAAGTACTATCATGTTTTTGTTTTTGAATGAGAAGTTAATCTTGCAATTTTGAAAATTCCTTGCCCAAAACTCTTGATTTGTGTTATTAACATATCCATTACTATTTCCTTCTGTTACATCAAATGTGATCATCATTCACATAACAGTTTCAGAGAAGCATGATTGAATAATTTCTAAGTGGGTTTATCTTCCCTTTTTCTTATAGATAAAACAACTCTATGAGTCATATATTTGTAGTAAGTTAGTCCAAAAAACTACTTGTTGTGCTAAGTTTTTCACTCTCAAATGTGTAACTGAAAGGTATTTACCAATTTTTGGTCATCACATGTTAGCTAAGTCCTTTCGTTTCTCGTATTTTGAAAAAGTTTTTTTGAATAGTATCATATAATATACAAACCTAATTTGCTAATAGCATCTACTGAATACTTTTCTTTGAAGAAAGAGATTGTCTTTCTCAAGTCCTGAACCAATTTAAACATAGTAGCATAATAAAAATTTTGAATCAAGGAGATTGTTAGGATTGTTGATAGAATCTACAGAACCAACCTGTGTTCTCAAAAAATTGGATGGTAACCTAAAATCTTAACACCTTACCTTAGGAGAAATGCTCATAAAAAAAATTTGTGATTATTTTGAAAAAACATAGTTTGAGTATTCAAAAACAGAAAATAACAGCAAGTACATTTTTTTAGTTTTATAATTATTTTCAAGAAACTTAGAAAAATTTACCAATTCGTGCCTCCAAACGATGAATTTGAAACTCTCATCCAAAAGTATATTTTTGGTCGCATGAATTCTTGCCTTCAAAGAAAGAATTATCGGTAACTATCAATCAGCAGGTGTCATGCCAAATGTCAAAGATAGACTCGTTGTGGACTAGACTTCCTAGCAGATTGTTATGTGATACACAACTTGGATATATGTACTTCAAACAAAATGTGCTTGTTAATGAAAATTTGAAATGTTAATTTTCTTGCCCAACAACTTGACCTCTATAGTGAAGATGATTACATGCGCAAAAGGAATAATCATAGCAGCTACATTGCAAACGGATATGTTGGATGGATACATGTAGTGAGGATAGTGTAAAATATGATAGGGTAGGAAACCGGGAATGTTTTTGATGATGCTCAAAAATAACGGCTCAAGTCCATAGTGATATTTGGGAATTTTAGTGAATAAATCGGTTGAAAGATAAGCTTATGGAGGGGAGAAGAGGACAATACGTAAGTGGTTCACCTTAGCCGAAAGACTAAGGCTATATCCACTGTAAGTGAGTCTCTTGTTCCTTGAGGTTGTATATTACTTAATTTTTTGTGAATGCAATGGTATTACAGGCGCTGGGCCTTTACAAGGACATATGCTTCTTGCTCTACCTACTTACTGTGTTGAAGGTTTGAGAGTGTAATGGGGAAGCTCTCTTTATCAGGACAACAATGTCCTATTTATACAAGTGCTCCCCCTATGGTTTCTTAAGGCTCATTCTTCTTTTTTGTTGATTCTGTGGGCTTTTTCGTTTTTGACTGTAGCAATCTCTGTCATTCAGCGTCATTGTGCCCACGATCCTTGGATGGTTATGCGCACCAACACTCTGCATCAAGGAGTGCGCGATTGTCATAGGAGTTAGAAGTGGTCCTTTTGTCCTCAGGACACGTGGAGCGATGGAAGTGTTCCAGAATTTGTGTTGGGTTGAGCTTCTTTATCCTAGGATGTCTTTTGGCTGAATTGGATTAGGGCAAGGTTGGGCTGCAAGTTTTCAGGTGCCATTGGGCTTTGCCCTTTGAACTCGGCCTCTCTATTCTTGATGTGGGCAAGTTGTGGACACTTCATTTGGACTATTATGCAAGCAAGGGTTTTTGGACTTATTGGGTCTTGGACTATGGCGGCTCATACCTAAAATCCCATCATTATCAGTTGCATTCTATAAACATTTATGAATGTTGACGAGGATAATGGTGGATATTTTTCATGATAGTAGTGGTACTGCATTTTTTTGATATTTTTAAAAACTCGACTTGATTTGACATTTATATCAGGAGACCATCTTCTATTAGTTTTATCCAATATTTCATGAGTCTTCCTACAATGCAATAGGAAAAGGGAGGAAAGAAGAAGAGGGATGAGAGGGATTGGGTCCTTATTTCCAATAATATAACTCAAACCTACTTATTGTAATTTTTCACTCCTCTTCGAGTATATAAATGAACCATTATACTTTTCTTAAACTATCCTTTTCTTATATTGCATCTTAAATTATTGGTTTGTGTTTCCAACTTGTCGCAATCACTGACTAATTGGACACAAATCAGTTCACAATATGAAGTGTTGTGATCTTTCCTTCAATTAACTAGGCATAATTCTAGTTTTTCACTGATTTATCATGAAAAATTGGACCAAAGTTAACGACTAGGGTAATGTGAAACTCCAACTACTAGTATTAGNTAAACAGGGATTCCACAATATGAAGTGTTGTGATCTTTCCTTCAATTAACTAGGCATAATTCTAGTTTTTCACTGATTTATCATGAAAAATTTGACCAAAGTTAACGACTAGGGTAATGTGAAACTCCAACTACTAGTATTAGCACATGCAATATGAGAAAGTGAGTAGCTTAAGGGTCGGTCGTCTTCTTTTTTGGGCAAAATCATCGCAGAATAACCCAATAGTAGTTCAAGTAGTAACAATGAACGAGCTATGAACTCATAAATCATGAATTTGAATCTTAACAATTATTTGAAGTTAGGCTATGAGATAATTATCCATCATGAATATCATAGTCCTAGTGTGAATGGTCTGCCTTTGACTAGATTAGTAATAAGATTAGTTGAAATACGTATAAACTGATTCAAACACTCATGATTGTTGACAAAAGAACAAAAGGTACACAAATAATATATAGAATGGGTATACTTTATCTCTTTTAAGTGAACAATGAACCTCAAGAAGGCAAAGCCTTCAAAAGATAAGGAATATCATTAGATTAAAAGCCTATTGATAATATAAGGCGTGGGGTTTTTTTGACTCAATCTAGGTGGCTTCATTTGCTCAAGTAATATATAATACCTAAACATAACCAGGTAAGCACCCTAGCTAGTTTGTTTTAGAGTTAAAAATCGTATGTTGTCTACACCAACTCGTAGTTAGTTTGGCCTGCAAGCCTAAGAGACTCAGATTGCAGGATTTTCGGATTTTTTAACGAACTCAAATGATGTAATTCAAGTGTATCCAATCGCACGATGAGAACAATGTGATCGACAATTGATTTGTCAAGTCCATCTTTACAAAAAAAAAAAAGTGTGTGTGTGAGAGAGACCAAAATACTTCAAGTTCAAAATCCGAAAACTAAGAAAGACAGATGTTAAAGCTACATTATGAAGATCTTTCTTGATTCTTCGACACTTGAGAAAGATAATGATGTTAGAGACATTCGAACCTTGGTAATTTTATTTTGTCTCATTAGTTTTTGTTTGAAAAAGATTTAGGATTTGTGTCATTACTTTGGCTCATTTTTGGATTTGCCTCATTAAATCGTGTTATTTCGGATGGGAAAAAAAAATTTCATGGGGGATGTTTAGCATGCTGTCTATACAGTAATAATACTTGTCATTAATTTCAAAGAGTAGTTCAAATAGTAAAAAAGATGAGTATTTAGATGTCTTACGTTTAAATTTTAACAATTTTTTGGAGTCAGACAATAAGAGATTTATTTTTTATGAATACCCTAGTCTTGGCCTGGATGACTTGTCTTTAATTAGATTGGGTATAAGATTAGTCAAGATGTATGTAAATTAATCTGGATATTCTTGACCATTAAACCCCAAAAAAAAAAAATAGTTGTCCTCTCATCTGGACCATTGACTCTCTTTCTCTCGAGAAATTTTCCCATAGTACAGTGAAATCCATTATTTTCAAAAGGCTGGGCTCTTAAATATTTGGCCATGGCCTGAACTCAATACTAAACAAACAAATATCACTCTTCTCTCAGATTCTTCCCAGCGGGCCATTGAGACAAACACGGACACAAACACCGTGTATGTAAATGTAAAGTTGTTAATCAAACTGAGTTATTCACGTTTGACTTGAATTTAGTTCAAATTTGATTTGTTCAGGTTTAATTTATTTTTTAAACGAACCCAAATTTGAATAAATTTTAGACTCGTTTATAAAACAAGTCGTATAAGTTCGGATAAAACTCGATAGGCTCGACTCGGGTTCGACATATTTTTGACTCATTCAGGCTTGGATCGTTTCCTAAATAAAATCGAGTCGAACTTAAACAATTTTTTAGACTCGATTAAGAAACAAGTTTTTCAATTTTAGCTCGAACTCAATTCAAATTAGTCCGACTAACAACCCTAAATTCATATATAAAAAAAAATCACATGAAATATAAATACGACTAATAAATATATCGGATGAATGTTAAACACAAATAACTCATTCAGTTGGTGTTATAAGAAAATGAATATTTTGTTTTATTTTTCTTATTTTTATATTTATTATTGTATGAATTATTTTAGATTGATTGACTATTTTTTAACACCAATGTTTGTATCAATATAATAATAATAAAAAATAACACAATTTAAATATAATCCAAAATGTACGCGATATAACACGTGTCCCTCACATTACTTGTGGTGACTGGTGAGCTAAAGAATTAAGTCAATCCAAAACTCGTACCATTTTATCCACACAAATCCACATGGCATGATGTTATTGAACAACAGCCCATCCATGCAATCTATGAGTCACTCAATCCTCCCGGTCACCACATGTAGTTCGCCAAATATCTGTGGCAACAACTTAAACCACCACCAGCATTTTGCACCACCACCACCACCACTAAGCTTCAAGAGCAGCAGAAATGGCAGCCACCAGTGCCACAGCTTCCACCGTCGTAGGCTTGGCCACCTCATCCCTATCATCCCCATCTCGGGTCTCTTCCCCAAAACAAACTCGCCTCAGATCAGGTGCATACACTTTTCTTATCAATTTTCGCAGAAAGAATAGTTTTGAAAGCCAAAAAAATGAGGAAATGTACGGTCTATAATTGTGTGAGTTACTTAGCATGGTAGTTTAAATTCACGGTATTGGTCATCCATTCGAAGAGTTATTAGACATATTCGTCGTCGTGCGGTATCAAGTAATATGACCTAAAAAAAATGTTGAACATGATGAGATAACGATTACAATTGATACATTACATTGACCTTTTCTAAAAAATGTAGTATAACTGGCCGTCATTTTTTTTGGAGCAATACTATTGGGACCTAATTCAATATAATCTTTGGATTAACTGTGGACTCCATCAAATATTTGAACTTAGTGTTTATCCGATGGTTCTAATGAAACTATATTATTAGGTCAACAAATTATGTTAGATTTTTAAGTCCAAATAACATTTTCCTTCTTTTTGGGTAATTTAGCGACATGTAATTTATCACATTTAGATGCAAATGGTTTAATGTCCTAGCCCATTTTTTTTTCTTGTTTTTCCAAGGAACCAATTCTTCGACGAAAGATAATCTCAACTAATTTTCGTAATAATATGGAGAACTAATCAGGTGTATCTAATTTTGGGATTTGAAAGAGTATCGCATTCTGCTTTGATATGATTGTGTTGGATTATTCAAAATCAAAATTATTTTGTACTTCTTGTCGATTTTATGTTTCATTTAGTAATTTCATCTTAAATTTTCGTATGTTTCTCATTCTTGAAATTCAAAATATTTATGTTAATAAGGATTTGCTGAATGTATCTAGAGGGGGAGAGAAGTGTGTGACCATCCTCTAAAGATTTGAAGATCCTCTTGGTTCGATGAAATGATATTTCCTGATATCCAATATTGAATGAAGTCTCTGTTGATCACAATCATTAGATCTCTGAATTAGGTCTCTAAATTAGATAAGATTAGTATTGTCACTCATAAAAACCTATTGCAATAATTCATCCCTTCCACACTCAAATCTTGGATGTCCTTTGTGTGTGTGCATTCTTGTTCCAGGCTTTTTAAGATCACCAGTAAGGGCCAGGAACCCTCTGAGGCTAGCACAAGCATCAGGAGGGAAGTTTACATGGTAATTACTTAAATTTATCATGATCACTATATGATGAAAACTCCATGGCTGTGTCTTAAGTCTTCTTGGTATTTGTAGCTTTGAGAGAAATTGGCTGCGCACGGATCTTAACGTGATCGGGTTCGGGCTGATCGGGTGGCTAGCACCTTCAAGTATACCGGCAATCAATGGTAACAGTTTGACAGGTCTCTTCTTCCAGAGCATTGCGGAGGAGCTCTCTCACTGGCCTACTGGTCCTGCTCTCACTTCTCAGTTCTGGTTAGTGTATATATATGCATACTTGCTCTCAGCACACTGTTTTCAACCTTTGTTTCCAATNCGCAGAAAGAATAGTTTTGAAAGCCAAAAAAATGAGGAAATGTACGGTCTATAATTGTGTGAGTTACTTAGCATGGTAGTTTAAATTCACGGTATTGGTCATCCATTCGAAGAGTTATTAGACATATTCGTCGTCGTGCGGTATCAAGTAATATGACCTAAAAAAAATGTTGAACATGATGAGATAACGATTACAATTGATACATTACATTGACCTTTTCTAAAAAATGTAGTATAACTGGCCGTCATTTTTTTTGGAGCAATACTATTGGGACCTAATTCAATATAATTTTTGGATTAACTGTGGACTCCATCAAATATTTGAACTTAGTGTTTATCCGATGGTTCTAATGAAACTATATTATTAGGTCAACAAATTATGTTAGATTTTTAAGTCCAAATAACATTTTCCTTCTTTTTGGGTAATTTAGCGACATGTAATTTATCACATTTAGATGCAAATGGTTTAATGTCCTAGCCCATTTTTTTTTCTTGTTTTTCCAAGGAACCAATTCTTCGACGAAAGATAATCTCAACTAATTTTCGTAATAATATGGAGAACTAATCAGGTGTATCTAATTTTGGGATTTGAAAGAGTATCGCATTCTGCTTTGATATGATTGTGTTGGATTATTCAAAATCAAAATTATTTTGTACTTCTTGTCGATTTTATGTTTCATTTAGTAATTTCATCTTAAATTTTCGTATGTTTCTCATTCTTGAAATTCAAAATATTTATGTTAATAAGGATTTGCTGAATGTATCTAGAGGGGGAGAGAAGTGTGTGACCATCCTCTAAAGATTTGAAGATCCTCTTGGTTCGATGAAATGATATTTCCTGATATCCAATATTGAATGAAGTCTCTGTTGATCACAATCATTAGATCTCTGAATTAGGTCTCTAAATTAGATAAGATTAGTATTGTCACTCATAAAAACCTATTGCAATAATTCATCCCTTCCACACTCAAATCTTGGATGTCCTTTGTGTGTGTGCATTCTTGTTCCAGGCTTTTTAAGATCACCAGTAAGGGCCAGGAACCCTCTGAGGCTAGCACAAGCATCAGGAGGGAAGTTTACATGGTAATTACTTAAATTTATCATGATCACTATATGATGAAAACTCCATGGCTGTGTCTTAAGTCTTCTTGGTATTTGTAGCTTTGAGAGAAATTGGCTGCGCACGGATCTTAACGTGATCGGGTTCGGGCTGATCGGGTGGCTAGCACCTTCAAGTATACCGGCAATCAATGGTAACAGTTTGACAGGTCTCTTCTTCCAGAGCATTGCGGAGGAGCTCTCTCACTGGCCTACTGGTCCTGCTCTCACTTCTCAGTTCTGGTTAGTGTATATATATGCATACTTGCTCTCAGCACACTGTTTTCAACCTTTGTTTCCAATTCATAACTAGGCTGTGGTTCCATATTGGAGGGAGTCCCTAGACATAACTTGGAATAATCATTCACACCTTGATCTCGATTTTCAAGCGTGAATTATTTTCATTTGTTCATATCAATTAGTGTCAACGTAGACATTTAAGTCTCAAGTTTGAATCACTAGACAGGGACAATATGCTATATTCAAATCCTTGGGTACTGTGATATGTTAGAAACCTTTCTGAACACATTAGATCAATGCTCTAGTCCCAAGTAGGCTTCACCTAGCTACCCTAACCCTAGCTAGGCCCCACCCATGATCCTAATAGCACAATCCCAAGACATTCATTATTGATAGATGAGCGGACGAAAGAATTATAATTGGGTCAGAGTTGATAGAGTAAGCTCGTGGATCATCACCTAAGGAAGCATGATGATATGTTAGATTAATATCAGTTTAATATGGATTTAGATAAGTGCATATAAAATCTATTTTTTTTCTGATAAACTAGTTTTCAAGGGTGAGTTCTACCCATAAATGGATACAGAAAATGCTCTTGATAAAATGCATGAACATGCTTGTCTTTCAAGAAGACCTTATTCTAACTTGCATGTATGCATGTATGAGTAGGTTGTGGTTGGTTACATGGCACTTTGGGCTTTTTGTCTGCCTTACTTTTGGGCAAATTGGCTTCAAGGGGAGGGCTGAGGAGTACTTCTGAGAAGGAACAGACAATGTCCTCTATGTGTTTGATGTAATGCCTCTATGTAAACATTCTCAACTCTGTCCCTTTCTTCAATCTGTTGGAAAAAAATAACTGTATTCTGACTTCCTTTATTGTGTAATATTGTATACGACAGGAATGTATGATTTTGTGTTGTTTACTTCTATTGGTTCATGCCATGATAAGAAATTATTTTGTTAGCCACAATGACTAGTTGATAATATATGTCCAATAATTATCCAATTAAAGTGGATGAATGTTGAATTTGATCATGTGACAAGGGCATGTGGCGGGTCTCAATTGTTATCTACATTAAAGGTACGAACTGAATTAAGATAAATACTAGTCTACTCGGACTTGGCTCACTCTTTACAAAGAGATTTAAAATCATCATAAATTTTAAATTTTTTATTAAAACTCGGTTGTTTGATCATTTTTTCAGCTTGAGCTCGGTTCGTTGTAGTTAAATGAATTAACCTTGAGCTTTGTTCGAGCTTGAGCTCAAATTCAAACTTATTCAAGATCAATTTCTATTTATGCATGCAATTTATTGCATATTGTGTTTGTTCTCAAGTTTAGAGAAATGGGCTTGTTTGGTTTACGTTTCAAAAAACAGTATCCGAAAATAGTTTTTAAAAAGAGTTTTAAAAATGTGATTTTGATATTTTTTGAGATAAAAAATTTGTTTGGTTAGATGATTTCAAAAACAATTTTACAATACATAAAATAGTAAAACCTATTTGGACATCTTAAATATATATTTGAACAGTAATTCAAACATTAATAAAAAAATTATTTTTATATTGATAATTTCATAATATATATATATATATAATTTATAAAGATATATATATTCATATCTGAACATTCAAAATTTTTCTCCTTATTTCTCAAAATTTGGAAAACAAAAATACTAAACAAACAGGTTTTAAGTGTTTTCGAAATTTTGAGAACAAAAAACAGTTCCCGAAAACTAAATCAAACATGGCTCAAACAATTTAATTTTCAAAGTCGTTATAAGGGCCTACAATTATACCATAAACACCATGGACAACACCACCTCTATTTATTGATGGCTATAACGTAAATTCTAAATACGTGTAATCATTCGTAACAAAAGAACGTAGGATAAACCGATACCCTATTGCAAAAGTTGAACATCAATGAAAAATAGGTTCGTATCACAACAAATATAAACTTGAAAACGATGCCGAATCAGTTATTGAAAAATTTGAGTGGACATCAATAATGCAAATCTCACAGCAAGTTATTGATCAATCAGATTAGTAGTTGTGTCACCTACTATTTCTGAGAGCCTTTTGCTTTTCTAGATGTTGATGATCCATCACAATTAGGCTAAACACTTGGGTTTTGGATGATGCACAATCACATCAAGATCAAACTTTCTCGTGCTATATCTCCAAGATAATACACATTTTCATTAGGAATGTAAGAGTTCCCTATGCCAAAGGAATAAGACACAATGGAATAAGACACTCCCACCATGTCATAACCTGTAAAATACATATACTTCGATGAGGATGATGTATCAGTATTTGATATGTATCGAATATCAATACTAGTTGGATACGTATTAGATATCGGATACAATTATCTCCAAGTGAATACATTTGTATAATACACGAATCAACAAATGATGATGTTTTGTTTCAAAATGTTTATTTCTATATGCATTACATATGTCACAAAATTTATCAATTTTTAAAAATTTATTTGTCCTGAATAAGGAATTTTATGGCTTATGTCCAAGCCAATGAAACAATTGCAATTAAAGACTAAGTAAAAGTTGAGAATTCTCGCAGGATGACACATGTTCAACTTTAAAATTATATAGAACATTGGATTTAAAGCATCATTAAGCTGTACTTATGTCAACAGAATAAATTATTTTAGTTTGAGAATAAATTATTTTAGTTTGAGATGTGTTTTATCTCTTAATTTTTCATATTCTTAATATTTTATATAAGAATGTATAGACCATCTTAGTCGTTTTGTGTTTTTTGAATTCAAATTTCGTTCTATTTTATTATATAGATATATAAACATATCTTATTCGTACCCGTATTTTATTTTTTAAAATTTTTATCTTATCATTATATTCATATTATGTTATACCCATATTTCATATCTATATTTGTATTTTCTCAGTAATAATAATACCTACAAAAATAATAACAACACCTACAAAAGTACAAATCAACCTCATCTAAATCGCCCAAACAAATTTAATATATTTAATTGCTGAGGAAGTAGAAGGCCCACCTTTTTCTTGAAATGGTGAATGGTATTTACTTACCAAAGGGTATCAAGAATTTTCCAAAAAATGGCACTGGGGAGAGGGCCTTTCTTTTTAAACCATTTTTCATATATTTAATTTATACTAGTTGGTGCACACGTGTGTTGCACCAGAATTATTTTGAGTTATTATAATTTTTATTTACTACTTTTATAACAAAATATTGCTTGGTCAAATTATAGTTAAATGATCATACTTAAATTTTTAAGAATGCAATACTCGTGTGTTGCATATGAATTTTTTTAAATTAGTATAATAATTTGAAATTTTTTTAGGCATCTTACAAATATCAAAACCTATATTTTATTATAGATTCATAAACTGGTGACTCAATTACATAGTGAAGGTCAGACCAAATACAAGTAATTAATTATCACAATATAAATTAAAACAATCAAGAATAACAATCCATATGTATGACAAATATATAATGATGCATAGATCTAAAATTCTTGAAAATTTTGGATGGCCCTATACCAATAGTTCAATCTTCAAATTGACTGATAAAGAGTGAAATCCCTTTCTTCAAAATAAAAAGCAGCACACATACATAACTTTAAGGAAACTGTTTAAGTCCCCTTCTTCAAATTATATATCACAATCATACTAGTGAAAGTCAATTAAAACTAATTAAAATCTCCAACAAACATCTGCACTAAAATGTTTGGTTGTAATTCATATTCATGATAATTATAACACCATTTTTTTATTGTTATTACTCTAAATAAGTAATTTATTGGACTTTTTCACAGTAACCAAATTCTAATTATTATTCTTGATACTAATACATATGGTGTGTTTGTGGTTAATTTCTCCATAAAAGTTCAATTCTGTTAGTATCATAAAATATAGGATAAATTGGAAAAAAAATTATAATAGATATCAGTGGAAGAACAATATCACAAAAAAGTAAAGATGCACCAAACATTGAGATGTAGAAAGAATTGAATGCGTGGAGTAACGTATACTGAGAGCAGTAGAGAAAGATAGGGGAGAAAGAGAGAAACATCAAGGGTTTCTGGAATAAATAAAGAAAAGAGAGAAAAATGTTTATTTTGAGTTGAGGAAGNATGAGAGAAACATCAAGGATTTCTGGAAGAAATAAAGAAAAGAGAGAAAAATGTTTATTTTGAGTTGAGGAAGATAAATATGAAACGACAGGGGAGAGAGAGAAGATTGGGAGGCGTAGATTTTTATTTTTTTTTAGAACATGAGGAGACTTGGGTTTATTTTGACTTTAATGTTGAGAGATAAAAATGAGATAGTTGTGATTTTGGAGAATGAAAGTGAAAAACAAATATTTTTCAAATATGCTCACTTTTTAAAATAGTGTCGATATAGGTATAATAAAACATAAACATCACATGAACTATAACAAGTCAATTATATTCGGCGACCAATGTCATAATTTACATTTTAATCTTTTAATAAGAATAAATTTATTTATTTACATTTTAACTATAGTAAGTATACACACTAATACGCATGGGTAACCCTAGTCCCCTTATATTTTTTTATGTTTAAACAAAAATATAAGGGGTTAACTATGATTCGTAAAAGTTCAAGAGTAATACTGGACCGACCCAAATAAAAAGGACCAAAATCATGAACCAAATGACATGAAATTACCACAACGATATAATTTTAAATTTTAAATGTGTAAAACTAAAACTAACAATACTATTATGGTAAATATTACAAAAAATTACACTTAGATTTTTTAAGGTTTGTCATTTTTTTTTTGAATCGAAGGTTTGTCATTTAATCACTCAAATTATTTGATATTTAAAATATTACACACAGATCCCCTCAAGTTTATACACGCGTAACATTTAAACCCCTACCATCAATGTTCATATATCCGTTAGTAAATTATACCCGGACTCCCTAAATTTTGTAGGCGTGTAATACTTAGACAAAAAATATTCAAATTAAAAATAAAATATCAAATATTTTAAATTTTATAACTAAAATTCGTATTCTATTATGACAATTATTGAAATAAAATTAAAATTAAAAATTTAATTTTTTCTTAAAAAATTATAAGTAGTATACAATTATACTATTTAGTGTTTATTATAGTTTGACCCCTTATTTGATTTTTTTAATTTTATTCAAATAGATAGTATGATTATTTATTAATTATGATTTTTTAAGAAAAAATTAGATTTTATTTTTGATTTTATTTCAATAAATGTCATAATAGAATATAAATTTTATTGTAAAATTTAAAATATTTGATATTCTATCTTTGATTGGAGTATTTTTTGTCTAAATGTAACATTTTAAACTTGAAAAGTTTAAATATTACACATTTATTAATTTCAGGGGGTCTGAATATAATTTACTAACGAATATATTAACTACCATTGATTACAGGGTCTAAGTATTATGCAAGTACAAATTTTAGGAGGCTGGTGTATAATATTTTAAATGTCAAAAGAACTGAATGATGAAGTCACAGATTTTAGAGGGCATGAGTATAATTCTCCCTAAATCCTAACATCATTTGGTACTATGTTTATAGGTTTTTTTTAAGTCTGCCGAGCATTACTCAAAAGTTCAGAGCATTACGCGTGATTGACCCTATATTTAGGGGTCTTTGTGCAATTAACCCTAAACTATATTTACCCATTGCCTCTGCGTAATTTCCCCCCCTAAGTAGACTGCGGGCTGTATACTTGCTTTCCACCCACCTTCTGACAGAGGCCGCCAAACAATGCTCTATATCTCTCTCTATCTCTCTGATCGATTAATGTCTCTCATAAGCTAACACGAAAATAGAGCAATCATTAGTCCAAATCACACTTCGAAACTTCAATTACTTTCCAAACCCAAAACTCACAGTAGTTCTCCTCTTGAATACCACATCCACGCACACAGTATCAGTTGGAGCCCGTCGCAAATTTGGAGAATCTCGATCGTCAATCAATTATATGCCATCTTCGATCTTGTATGTTCTCTTGAA